CTTCCCTCTACTCCCCCATTCAAACCTTTAAATTCAAACCCAGTGTCTCTACTTCCCTTCCATTTCCAGCAAATCTTGATTGCTGACTTAAACAGCCATTTACTTAATTAAGTTTTAACTCATATTTAATAGACTTGCCCATATATTTTACTGCCTAGGAAGGAGAAGATAAAATCCGGACTGTCAGCTTTCCTCTTTAGTAATCTCTCTAATCTATCATCTTGCCATTAACAAGTAGATCCTCTTTTGACCTTTTTCTTTTGTATGACACTGGTGCCAATCTTGTCCCCTGGCATGGATCCTATATTTTCAGAAGCCACAATTCCTGTATCTGCTTCTTTTACTTAAATAAAGATGCATAGCTCTACTTTATAGCTTAATACATAGTTAGTGGGATTTATATTTTATCCTATCCAAAGAAAAACATTCAAGGTTACAGCTATTAAAAACCAGATAGTATTCCATTTATCAGAGACAAATAATAGATTGGTTATTTGAATTACACAATTTCAAAGCCCAGTTGTGTGCTATAGAGAAACATTGAGGTGTAACATAAAGATGAGATGATTTTACTTTCCTTTACTAACAAGCCTGAGGGTAAGGTAGAGAAATTATATTTAAATAGTGCCAAAGGGCCCTACTATATTTGTTTCACCACTGAGATTAAAAATGATTCCATAATGTTTTCTGTTTCCTCACTGAGAAAAGAAGATGAAGATGGAGTACTAGGTTGATTAATAAAGATTCAAAGCTGCCTGTTTCTTTTAGGATTTTCGTTAATTAAAATAAGATAAAAGGTATGATATTGGTTATTAAACTGACTATTTCTAGTGTTTTTCCACTATTACACTTCAAGTCTATGTCTCCTTGCCAGTTTTCCTTAATCCTGGAAGATGAAAGAAAACTTCAAAGATATATATCTTCATATTTGTAATTGAAGGGGAACCCTAGAAAAACCTCTGTCTTTCTTCTAGTTAATCACTTCTCTATAGCATTGTTTGTCATTAATAAATTAATAAATTAATAAATCTCAATATGCATTAGATTCTACTTCAATGACTACAGGCAGACCTTGGAAATATTGCAGGTTTGGTTCAAGACTAACGTAATAAAGCAAGTGTCATAATAAAGCGAGTCACTCAAACTTTTGGTTTCCCAGTGCATATAAAAGTTATGTTTACACTATATTATAGTCTATTAAGTATGCAACAGCAGTACGTCTAAGGAAACAATGTAAATACCGTAATTAAAAATGCTTTATTGCTAAGAAAGGCCATTATCTAAGCCTATAGGGAAATGGCACCTATAGAGTTGCCACAAACCTTCCACTTGGAACTCAATATCTTCAAAACACAATAAAACAAGGCATGCCTATAATTTCTACTGTTTGCGTTATGTTTCTTATTATCTTTCTTCTTCTTTTTAAATCCAAAAAGCTTATCTGTTTTCCTAACAAACTTCCTGAAATGTAGTGGTTTCAGTAAATAACAGTTATTTTGTTTACAAACTTACACTTAGGAAAGGTGTGGTCAGGACTGCATGTCTCTGTTCCCTTAGCTTCTATCTGGACAGCTCAACAGCTGGTGCCTGGAATCATTTGAATGGTGGTTCACTAACATGTCTGGTTGCTGATGCTGACCATTCGCTGGGAAGACAGTGGGGACAATGGGGACAGACGGCTAGAACATCTTCCCTGGAACAGCCTAGGCTCTCACTGTGGCTGAGCTTCTTCACAGCATCCCAGGCACCTCACTCCCATATGCACGTCATTAAGATGGTGAAATCTTGGACTGCAGTCTGGGCCTGATACCACAGTAACTGAGACTTGTGGTGGTCAGCCTGAGATAGTGATCCAGGCAGAAGCTGTGTTGCCTTTTCTAACTCAGCCTTGAAATTCACACAGCATCACTCTCACAATGTTTTGTTCATTAGGAGCAAGTCACTAAGCTTGACCCATATTCTACCTTGGTTCATGGAATGATTATTTTAAAAGGTAGGGTACATTAAAAAAACAGCATAATCTATGCACTGGCCACATTTTAAAATATTTCTTCCACATGAAAAATACGTTCATCTCTACCCATCCCTGTCCCCCACATGTCTTAATTACTAGGGCATCAGGCACAGGCTCCAGTCCAAGGTTTTACCATCTTAATGAAGTGGGGATGATGTGTCTGGGATGTGGGTTTTCAAAAATTCCTATGTTGTTTTTTATTGATTTTGAGAGAGAGAGAGAGAGAGAGAGAGAGAGAGAGAGAGAGAGAGAGAGAGCAAGCGTGAGATATGGAGAGAGAAACATCAACTAGGTGCCTCCCGCTCAGCACCTACCAGGGATTGAGCTCACAATCTGGGCATATACCCTGATCAAGAATCCAATTGGCAACCTCTAGGTGCGTGGGAAGACCAACTGACCCACACCAGCCAGGGATGAGATTTTTTTTTTTAAGTGCCTTTGAATACATTTTTTTTTTTTAAAAATATGCAGACTTGGAAACCAAAAAGACAAGTTATTTACCATCCACATGACCAACATTCTGCTAAATTACTGAAGATGGTTATTTAGAAGCAGAAAATGGGAGGCACTTTAGACCATAGAAACTCTGATATATAGCTTGTATGCTGCTATATATCAGAGTTTCTTTGAGTAGGACTTAGTCCAACCATATTGGAATGCTTCTCCACAAACCTTTTCTGTGCCCTGAGTCCTGCATTCTGTCCTGGTCATAAACATGTCCTGTGTCAGCCTGCTCTTCCCTGTAGAACATCGAAGACCACAGGCCTCTGTGGTGCACTGTTTGGTCTTCTATAGTCCAAGTTAGCAAGAAGGGTTTTTGCTACTACAATTCTTTTAAGGTTTTGAGTTTCTTGTGAATTTTATTGGGGTTTATGCTATTAGAAAAATTACCCTCACAAATCATTTTGTGATGAGTTCTTCACCTTGGGCCTCCTGGAATAGCACCCTTAAAATTTTTCCTTTCTTTCTCCCTCCCTTCACTGCTCCCTCCCTTCCCTCCTTCCTTCCTTTCCTTTCCTTTCCTTTCCTTTCCTTTCCTTTCCTTTCCTTTCCTTTCCTTTCCTTTCCTTTCCTTTCCTTTCCTTTTTAAAATTTATTTTCCAATTATACTTTATATTCAATACGATCATCTATGCTCTATGCCTTTACATTTCTTATATTCTGACTAGAGGCCTGGTGCATAAAATTCATGCACTGGGGGGGAGGGATCCCTCAGCCTAGCCTGCACCCTCTCGCAGTCCAGAAGCCCTTGAGGGATGTCTGACCGATGGCTTAGGCCCACTCATTGTGGCAGTTGGACATCCTTAGTGCTTCTGGGGAAGAGAGAGAGGCTCTGCCACCCCTGCTGTACTCACCCGCTATGAGCCTGGCTTCTGGCTGAGCAGCGCTCCCCCTGTGGGAGCGCACTGACTACCAGGGGGCAGCTCCTGCTTTGTGCATCTTCCCCCTGGTTGTCAGTGAGCATCATAGTGATTGGATGTTCTGCCATTTGGTCGATTTGCATATTAGCCTTTTATTATATAGGATGATCCTTAAAGGAATTTGAGGCACCAACTTAAATCTTTCTGAGATCTTAAGGGTTTTATAGTATGGGCTTCATCCTTAGACCATGTTTTCCTGGATGAACATGGATTTGATCATAGCCCAGAAACCATTTCTTTATTTTAGCATTATTTGACAATTGACCATGTCGGGGAGGCTATAAATAAGAAACGAACAACTTCTGACTCTTTTATATTTAATAGTCTTTCCTTAGCTTATCTTTCTCATATATTTTTCTTTTAGCTGCTTTATGTAAGCATCCCCTTTCAACCTCATTTCAGTGTCATTTTGTTAATTTGCCTAGAAGCCCTTGCTGGCAGCTTCCTCAAATGACAAGAAGCTGGGGTCTAGAATCATCTAAAGGCTTATTCATTCATGTGTTGGTCAGTTGCAACAGGCTTTTGGCTGGGATGTTAATTAGGCAGGCTCAGCTCTCTGTGACCTGACTTCTTCATTCTTCACAAAATGATGGCTGAATTCTTAGAGTGAGCTTTCCTACAGAGAGAAAGACAGATTGAACCTATATCACCAGGCATAGAAGTGACATAGCAGTTCCACCACATTGTATTCACTACAAACCAGTTACTTACTAAAGCCATCACCTATTCCATGGAGACGTGCCAAATAATTTGTAGACATGTTTTAAAAAGTCCACACTACTTACTTTGTGTTACCAAACAATCATTATACCTAAAATAAATAGTTCTTCCTAAGTCATTACCACTGACATTATAGCTAGTTTGTTGTGTTTGTTGTTTAATATGTTCTCTTATTTTCTGGGAAGTAACAAAGAATTACAAGATAGCACTATTGAATTAAGCTGTGGTTTTTATTTGTTTGTTTATAGAAAACGTAGGGCTCATCTCACTAAACATTCACAGTGAAAGATGTGATTTCTCCTTAACCATTTGAATAATTTCTTTTTGGAATTCAATTCAAATTGGAATCAAACATTTGTAGTTAAAGAAAAGGCTTGTGTCATTAGAATCCATATTTATAAGATTAATTATTAGAGTCTGATTTTGAAAGTCTTATTTTGGGAGGCATATGTTAACTGAGGCCTAAATACCTCAATATGATGTCCCTAAAATTTGTTTAAAATTATGAAGAGTTAAGAGGGGGAAGAGGTAAGAGACTTTGCACTAAAAGGTGACAGATAGTCATCTTGTGGAGGAAGACAATCGTAGAAAAAAGATTATAAATTTAAGTACAGATGTTGTGTGGCAAAGGCAACAATGATAAAAAAATATATTTTGTGTGACTCCTGGTGGGTTTAACTTTGTTCTTGATTCTGAAAAATTCAATGTTTCACATTCTAGAATTCCTCTATAGTACAGATAACATATTATTTAACTGAATTCATTTCAAACTTTTATACTGGTGTTGTTAGACTATTCTCAGTCTACTTCCTTCATAATGAAACTATGTTATTTTATTCATGCAGAATGATGATCTTATAGCAAAACTGAAAACTACATCTTCAAAATGTATATGTCTGGATGGAAAAAATAAACTTCTTCAACAGGAGTTATTATCTATGAAAGCAATAGAAAAGAAATGTGAAAAACTAGAGAACAAAAAACAGAAGTTGAAACAAGAAATAGTAAATCTCAAAAGACATATGGAAATGAACATGGTAGAACTCAGTGAAGTACTGTTGTATAAACAGAAAATTGAAGAAAGAGCAAGAAGGGATGTAGAAGACAAATTAGAACAAGTCAATCAAATTTTACAGGTTAATTTGTTGATCTTTAATGTGCTTTAATTCATTTCACTGCAAATTACATTTTGGATATATACAGTATTTTTGCATTTCCTCTGCTTCCTTTAATAGCAATTTATTTCTGGAAGGAGGGTGGCATTTATTTTTCCTTTTTAATATTTCCGTTTCCAACATTATTATCACAAAATTGACCTTTCCAAATGATTCTTAATAGAGGATCATTTTATTTTTAAGACTAGTTTATGTAAAATGAGACTATTAAGAAGAAAAGGGAAAAAACATGATTTCAAAATTATTCCATACTCTTGAATTGTTATGTTGTTTAAGTTTTAAAATTTTTAAATTATTCTATTATTCCTTAAACTATCAGATCACATGAATACTAATAAAATGATTACCTTTATAACTCAGATTTAATTCAGTTGATCTTGATGATAGATATTTTAAATTCAGCTTCTTTTTCATACTCAAAGCTGATCTTTGTTGACTCAAAACTAAAGAAAACAAATATAATTGTTTAGGTTATACGTACTTTAAAAATTTATCCCTTTTACTTGCTTTAGATACAAATGGCATCTAAAGAACTCTCAGAGCAGTTAATAGAATATCGTAATGCTTCAATAAGAAGTGATTTGGAACTCAGAAATAAAGACCTGGAATCACAACTCTCCAAAGTGCGAATTGTTTTAAATGATAGCAGAAGCGAATTGGAAAAATATGAGCAACTTTATTTAGAAGAATTGAAATGCAGGAAGTCATTGGAAAATGAACTAATTGAGTAAGTCAAATGCAGAATCAGAGTTAATAAATGTAACTCATTTATTAGCCTCTAAACTTAAAGCATAATTTTCATCATTCCAGATTCATGAGATTAGTAGGACACGGAAGCTAACTAAATAGTATAACTTTGGAAAATGATATTAGTAAATAAACTTACCTTTCAAATGTTCTTTTTTTTTTCTTTTATTTAAAAATATATTTTATTGATTTTTTACAGAGAGGAAGAGAGAGGGATAGAGAGGTAGAAACTTCTATGAGAGAGAACCAGCTGCCTCCTGCACACCCCCCACTGGGGATATGCCCGCAACCAAGGTACATGCTTTTCACTGGAATCGAACCCGGGACCCTTCAGTCCCCAAGCCGACACTCTATCCATTGAGCCAAACGGGTCCCGGCTTAAATGTTCTTGCAGGAGAGTTTCATCTCTCCCCCGTTTTGCTTTGATGTGCCTTTATTTCCCCCCACCCCCCGCCCTTTAATATTTTCACGTAATCTGATCTGCTAGTCTTTAAGCTGAGTGTCTTGAAGCTCTAAAATGTAGACAGCGATACTATTATAAAATTGCGTGTCAAAATTCCCCTAACCTGAAATATTTCAAGATAACAACTTAAACATAAAGGGTTAAGTTACTCCAACACATTCCGGTACTTGGTAAATTTATTTTCTAGATTGTGATCTTTGTTATTATCACTAGAGGGCACCTTTAGACAAACTATTCTTCATAATTTTTCTACTCTACCTAAAGACATACATGTTAAATAGGGGAAGATTAACGTAAGGGTGAAGGGCAGTACAATTGACAAAGTGGATAAAATAATGGAAGATGGAAAGGGCAGGTCCCACCTTCAATGCCTCGGTAACAAGGTTATAAATCGATGGACTAGAGCTGTTTTAATTCATTTTGATCACTAGCTAGATTATCTTGTTCTTCCTCAGAGGTTGCTAAAAATTATGCCTTGGTGTGAAATGGTTAGCATCTCCTTGTATTACCTGTATTGTACACAGACGGTGGAAGCAAATATTCGACGGTGTCTTTAAGGGATTTTTCTTTTTTTTTAAATCTCTAAACTGGTTTACTAAACTTGTCCAAGGGCAGCCTCAAGAATCCTGTAAGTACCACCTTTCCAGAAGGCAGCAAGTATTCCCTGATAAGCCCTCTGCCTCACTGAGAGCCATCTCTCTCCCTGCCCTACTTAAATTACTTGTTAGTTAGGAATCCCTTCCCCCCACTCCCTGGAAGCATCAGTAATTCTTTAGGACAATTTAGAACCTATACTTGCATATATTAGTAATAGGTCTAATATATTGACATATTTTCAATGTCAAAATACTGTTTAATGTGAAATTCCATTTACTATTATGACGACTTAAAAACATGCAAGTCATTTTGGGAAAAATAAAATATTAAGCTTTTTTTTTTGGTTTGTTTATAATTTTCATAGGACTCAGGAGAAGCTAACAGAGGTCAGAACTGAACTACTACTACAGAAAGGGGAGAACAGATTTTTGAATAGCACTCGTAATATGATGTCAGTCCTGGAGACACCGTGTGCAGGAGATAATGGTGTGCCCAATAGTTTTGTGCCCAATAGATATTCTTCTCCAAGAGAAAACTTGGAGCTTCCAACCTCAAGGCCATGCACTTCGACTTATGTAGTTAAGGTTAGTTGTATTATCATTTTTTCCCCTTGGGTTTTAGTGAAATTCTGAGTTCTTAATTGGCCAGGGCACACTAATCAAAAGTCTTAATTATTTGTGCTCATATAGAAAGGAGACAGAAAATTGCAATCTTTTTTAAGTCCCTGGATCTCTCATTTGCAAGATATACCTATCATTAATATTATTCAATAAGTATGAATAAAATAACACATTTTAAATTCCTTGAAAAGTTGCATTTAAGTTGTATTGTAGAAATTAAATATTATTGTCTAGTAACAAATGGTATACTTGGAGATGCTTTGGGTTAGTTTCTAATGGATTTTAGTTTGCTGATGGTTGGCAATTTTTCAGTTTTTTAGAACACAGACTTCTCTGCCCCTAAGCATAAGTGAATGATTAACATCTAAATACTTAACCACATAGGGATGTTTGCTATTTAAATGAAATGGACATACATCCTTTTAATGAGTTAAATAAACTTGTAGCACTAAAAGGATTATTTTCTGTCTTTAGGTGAAAATGTCATCTTCTCAGAACATCCTTAATTTCTATTTACTTTGGCATTTTAACTTCAGTTTTTGTAAAATGTCTTGTTGAGCAACTGTATATTCCCTAAATAGTTAAATTTAGTACATATTTGAATTTGAATTTGAATTTTTAACTTACTTTTAATATTTGAATTTTTAAAATGAAGGTTACTTATGTCTGCATATCTTGACAGTCCTTGATTGATTGGTGGCAATGATAGGGAGTCTTGAAATAGCAAGGTTGAGGCCTCTGGCCCAGTTTCACCTCCAGGAAGTGTAAGGGGACAATCATGTTCCCAATGTTATCAATGTTAGCTCCTCTGCAGTTAGGGCTGAGCTGGGGAGTCTGGTCAGGGGGCCAAGTCCTGGCAGAGAGCCCATAGTCATGGAAGGGTCTGGGATCTGCCCAGGCATCCTAGCAGGAGGAATGGCAGTCCAGCCCTGCAGAAGCCTCAGTAGGGGGGCGGGGAGTGGAAGGAGGTTGCGACCCTGTGGCCTGAGCCAGGCTGCAGGTGCTGTGCCTGCTCAGGAGCTGCCTTGGCACCAGCCCTGCCTTGCAGCATCTACACCATCAACACCTTCATAGGCACTGGGCATCCCTCCCGTAGGCTCTGGCTTAGGTCTCCCTCTTTGAGGCAATGGATTGCAGGGCTCTGCTTGCCTGCCTCACTGTCCCTAACAGCTTGCTGGGGGGGCAGGCTGAACCCGGCAAGAGGCCTTCTGTCTACCTGATCACCCCTAACCACTTGCCTGCCTACCTGTTCACCCTTAACTGTTGGCCTGCCTACCTGATCACCCCTAATTGATCACCTGCCTGCCTGATGGCCCCTAACCACCTGCTGGGGGCGGGGCCAGCTGGGGAGGGTTTGTGGTGGTTCTGGTCTCTGGTCGTTCTGGTTGTTAAAGTCCTTGGGCTTTTATTATATAGGATTCCTTCTTATTTTTATTATTGAGTTCTTCAGCTCCAGAATTTGTTTGTTTTTTGTAGTTCTCATCTGTTTGGTAAAGTACTCCTTCTGTTCATTAATTTTATTCCTGAGCTCATTGAACTGAGTTTTGAGTTTTCTTGTATCTTGTTGAGTTTCTTCATGATTGCTATTTAGAGTTTTCTATTCATTTAGATCACAATCATCCATTATTTGAAGTTTCTTTCTGGAGAGTTGTCATTTCCTTTCTGTGTTAGTGGTAGTACATTGGTAGTACATTGATGGATGGTGGTACATTTGAATAGATAAACACTTTTCTTACTGAGGAATGTTGTGATTTTCATAATTCAGATTTGATAATTTGAGGTCTTAATTTTGTTTTCCAGTAGATGATGCTATAGCACAGACTTTGTTTTTTCTTACTTGTACTACTTAAGCTTGGAGAATGGAATATCGTGAGTCATGGTGTCGGGAGGCTTAGCCTTGTACTTGGGGGTGACCAAAGGAGGTAGGTGCCAATGCTGTATCCGGGTCTCAGGGCACCACCACGATGGTAAGAGGGTGTGGCCAGTTGAGGGGAGCCAGTTTGTGAGCCCACTGAGACACTACCTCATTCCCTTTGGCCACTAGCAGCACTGTGGAGGCTGGAGATGTGGCTCTGCTGCCGCTACCAGCCTGTGGTGGGGTGAGCACAGCTGCAGCTGGGAGGAGTCTGGATTTGAGGAGGAGAGAGGGAAGGCTGCTGGGCAGCGGTGTGGGGACTGCACTCTGACCCCCCCACTGTCACTGTTTGCTGGGGCAGTAAGTTCAGTTTAGTCCTTGGAGAACCACAGTAGGGGCCTGTCCCTATATTCTCTGGTTCCTGCCTTTCCTGCACATTCCAAGATGTCCACTTCTGAGGTTGAACAAAGGAAACTTTGTTGGGTTCCAGATGTCCACTAGTTGTAGATCTTAGGGGAGATACAGAAGGACTGTTTCACTTTGCTATGATGCTGATGTCACACATTGAAATACCCATTTCAATTAATAAAATTGGTTTATGTTTTAAAAAAAAATGTTTTATTGATTTTTCACAGAGAGGAAGGGAGAGGTATAGAGAGCTAGAAACGTCGATGAGAGAGAAACATAGACCAGCTACCTCCTGCACATCCCCTACCAGGGCTGTGCCCACAACCAATGTACATGCCCTTGACTGGAATCGAACCTGGGACCTTTCAGTCCGCAGGCCGATGCTCTATCCACCTAGCCAAACTGGTTCTGGCGGTTTATGGTTTTGATGATGTTTTTATAGTCTTCTTAATGCAGAGAAAGGTAGCTTAGGCCTGTGCTAAATGAGGCTCCAATTTTGTTTTTTCATTTGGCTTCCTCAAAATACATCATAGAAGAGCAAAGCTAAGAATTTTTGGACAGCTTTTTGGCCAAATAAGGTGTGAGTACTTCCAAATTTGTGAAACTGGACTACTGGATACCAAAAGAAGATGTTAAATACTTCTATTAATTGTTAAGGAAAGCTATGATGCAAACTTAAAATATTATTGTTAGTTCTTACTAGAAAAATCAGATAATGTCTTATTTTATAAGATGAAGACTAAAGAGTATGTAAATGCAGAAGCAATGCAAGAGAATATTTTTGTGGAATTTTTTTCCTTGAATTCATATTTTGGGAGGAAAGAGGTGTTTTCTTTTAATATGTATACTAACAAAAGGATAATATAATATACTAATTAGTCTGGACATCTGGATGTCCTTTTAGACAAAGCTATTGTGGCAGGGCCAAGACAGAGGTGGTTAGGGGCAACCAGGCCAGCAGGGGAGGGCAGTTGAGGGTGCCAGGCTGACAGAGGAGGGCAGATAGGGGTGACCAGGCTAGCAGGCAGAGGCAGTTAGGGTGATCATGCAGGAAGGGGAGCAGTTAGAGATATCAGGCAGTTAGGCAGGTGAACAGTTAGGAGACTGCAAGAGGAATCCCAGGTTGGTGAGGGTGCAGAGTGGGCTGAGGAACACCCCCCGCCCCCCATGTTCATATTTTGTGCACCAGGCCTCTAGTTTCTATACAAATTGAAAAAAAATAGTTGATTTTAAACTTAACATTGTAGTTTTAGGTATACATAGTTAATTTTCTTGTGGGGCATTGGTTCACCAAATCATGCTAGACTTAATAAGAGAAAGTAGGAAACATCAACTGGTAGGAGCGAACCCACAACCCACATATTCCCTGACCAGGAATCAAACCTGCAGTCTTTTGGTGAAAGGGTTGATGCTGTAACTCAAGCATGTCAAACTCAAAGGCTAACGTGGGCCAAGTAAACAAGGTTAAATTTGTGTGGGCTGCAAAGAAAACAAAAGCTTCAATTTTCATAGAAACATAGTTTTATTTTGATAGAGGTATGCTGAATACAAAGAGCTGAAATGAGTAATCGTTAACATAAAATAATAAAACATTTTAATAAAAATTAATACTTTTTCTTGAATATTAACTCACCAAGACACTGAATAACTGCACAAATTAATAAATCTAGGTTTCTTGTTCTCTGAAAGTGAAATATTTCCTATTGCAAACACCAAACAAGTCAGTAAAAGATTAATGACGTGACAATTGGCTGCTAAAATATTCTCTGCTAGTATTAGTGGAGAGAAGTGGTGTGCTTACTTGTAAGGTGCTTAAGGGAAATGAATGCAACACAATTTTAGTAATCAGTCATTAGCAAACACTGTAGTTTGTTATTAGTAATTATGTATAACAGGATATAGTAAAAATTAAGTTACAAAATTTTTATTAAAACTTTTCTTACATACTGTTATATTGGCTGGGCTGCAAAAATACTCATTGTGGGCTGCATGTAGCCTACAGGCTGTGAGTTTGTCATGGCTTGTTCTAGCCACTAAAAGCAGTATTTAAAAGATAAACTGTCCCTTATTTAACTTAAATAGTAAAAATAATATTTGACCGATTTCAGATGTGGCAGGAGTTTGAAGAAATACTAACAAGAGAACTAAAAGAAGGTATGTTGCAAAAATTTATTAATAATTTTTTATATTGATTTTTGAAATAAACTGAAAATAGTAAATGGCATATGTTTCCATGTTTGGAGAATATATACTTCATTAAATATTTCCTTATCCATGGTGAATGAAAAATATGAAAGCATAAATATAAGGAAGACTATACTTATTTCATATGCAATCATCACATTCCACAGCTTTTAAAACATCTCAGAAGTCCATGTATCTTTTCATGTTTGCCTATTCCCTCCCTTCCTTCCTTCCTTCCTTCCTTCCTTCCTTTCTTTCTTTCTTTCTTTCTTTCTTTCTTTCTTTCTTTCTTTCTTTCTTTCTTTCTTTCTTTCTTTCTTTCTTTCTTTCTTTCTTCTTCTTCTTTTTAATATATTTTATTGATTTTTTACAGAGAGGAAGAGAGAGGGATAGAGAGGTAGAAACTTTGATGAGAGACAACCATTGACCAGCTGCCTCCTGCACACTCCCCACTGGGGATGTGTCTGCAACCAATGTACATGCACCTGACTGGAATCGAACCTGGGACCTTTCAATCCGCAGACCGACGCTCTACCACTGAGCCAAACTGGTTTCGGCTCCCTTCCTTTCTTCTGTCATGCCTATGCACTATTGACATACACACCAAAACTACAGTCAGAAAACTGGGCTTCATACACTTCTCACGTTATATAAGGCCAAATAACCAGATGCATATATAGTAATATTTAGTTAAGCATTACAGTTCATATAACTGTTACCAGAGGGGTAAATATTTAAAACTCTAGTCATTGACTTTGTCATTCTTTTACTTTAATCCTCATGAAAAACTCCAAATTCCTTTGCATGCAGTAAAAACACTGAAATCCACTTAGTTCTTGCCAAATAATTCAGCCTTATCTTTACTACTTACCCTACTCTGCCCTTTTGCTCTACTCTCTAGCTAAACTAGACAGTTCTAGTTCCTCAAATGCTCTTCCTAATTTCTAGTCCTGGCCTCCACTTCATTTCTCTTTCTGGCATATTTTCTTTTTTTCCCCTTCAGGTATCACTTACACTGCCACCAAAAAAAGCCAACAATACTGACACAAAACTGGGATGTTTTCTCCATGTGCTTCAATAGTGCCCTGTGTTCCATTGGCTAGTGGAAATTGCCTTTTCATTTTTTTTTTTTTCAGTCTATAGTACACTAGAGGCCCAGTGCACAGATTTGTGCACCAGTGGGGTCCCTTGGCCTGGCCTGTGCTCTCTCGCAATCCAGGACCCCTTGAAGGATACCAGATAGCCTGTTTTAGCCCTATCCCTGCAGGCCTGATCCAGACAAGAGGGAGCCCTGTGCATTGAGCATCTGCCCCCTGGTAGTCAGTGAGCATCATAGCAAACAGTCAACCAGTCATTTGGTTGTTAGGTCACTTAGGCATTTATATATATAGATGATTGTTCAGGGATGGGCTGTGTCCTCTTCATCTTGTAACTACCTTAGTGCATGGTGTTGAATAAATGAATGAATGATGAGAGAACCAGAAGCACTGATACTTAGCCATGATACCAATTAATTCAGTGTGTAATCCGTGCATTTCATAGTATGCTTGTGTTATGCATAGTAGTCAGATATAGATGTTTTTTATTCTTCTTAACACTTATACTTAGTTGTAGTTTAGATAAAGAATATAATTTCTTTTCTTTCTAGATGCTGTTGAGTTTGAATCGGAATGCTATAGAGCTAGTTCTCTAGGAGCAATTGATCAGTCAAATTCATGTCGAGACCTATTTTTGAAAACATCACGAAAATATACAGAGATCTTGAAGAAAAATTACACGATCTGAAACATATACAGGAAAAAATTATTTACTGAACTCATATTTTGTTTTCCATTATACACATGATGTGAAATCTTTATTAAAGAATAAAATTTAGATCATATGTGTATGATGAAAGTGTATATAGTGTATTTTTTATGGGCATCTAACTAAATTTTAAGCAGATTTTATAAATGAAAGCCACCACTATTGAGTTATACATACTCAAATTGGCCAAATACCAGTTGTTTAAACAACACCCAAATAACCAACTTGTCATTCATACTTTAGTGATGTTTGTTGATAGATTTTTTTTTATATATTCCAATTTTATCACAATATTTGGTCCTAAAGATTTAGACAGACAAAATTTTGATATCTGTTGCTATGGTTAATAATTGAATTTATAATAATTGGATGTATTTAATGCCATTAGATTTATAATATTTAATTTTAAACACTAATTCAAAAATATTTCCCCATGGGAAACAGTTTGCCTAAGAATTTTCCAATTTTCTATTTATTTATTTATTTTTGATTTATTTTTTAGAAACAGTCTTAAAATTATAGAAAGTTTTTCTTTAATACAAAGGACTCCTTTGCCCTAACCACTTGAGAGTAAATTGCTGACATTGTGCCACCATCCCTTATTTCTTTAGTATATCCCACTTGCCTGCCATACCACTTTCACAATCAGGAAATCAACACAAATGCATTCTATTAGTTAATCCTCATATTATTCCTTAAAAAATATTTTTATTGATTTCAGAGAGGAAAGGAGAGGGAGAGAGAAATAGAAACATCAAAGATGAGAGAGAATCATTGATTGGCTGCCTCCTTGCATGCCCCCTACAGGAGATCAAGCCCACAACCTGACAAAAAAATTCTTCATATGAACCCAATCCTTAGACATATCTGGGCATTACTGGCAGCAAAATGGCTAATTTCCTAAATTTTCTATTCACTTAACAGTGCAGGTTTAAATTAGAAATAATAACACTTAGACAACTATGGTATATATATGCATAATGAGGGATTTACATCTTATTTGACAGGTTTTTTGAATAGAGAATAGTTTACAGTGTATTTGAAAAAAAGTATTTTACAGATTTTATCATACATTTAATATTTGGTGTAAGTTTTGTCATCTGAAGAATGTCGGACAATTTTTAAATAGTCTAAAAGTTCAATGTGTCATTATTTGCTATACAAAGAAATTTAACTTGGAGTATAAATTTTTGAAAAACAATTTAGTATTGTTCAAATAACTTCATTGTTAGAAAATTTATATGGGACCCTACAATGTATATTCTAGTATAGGTTCTGTCTGAGGTAAATACCTGTAAGCAAGAACATCTGTAATAATAAAAGGGTAATATGCTAATTAGACCAGATGTCTTCTGGACATCCATCCTGACATCCTCCAGACAAAGCTTGGTGGTGGGAGCTGAGGCAGAGGTGGTTAGGTTTGATCAGGCTGGCAGAGGAGAGCAATTAGGGGTGACCAGACCAGCAGGGGGGACAGTTAGGGCAACTAGGTCAGCAGGGGAGGGCAGTTAGGGGCTACCAGGCCAGTAGGAAGGGCAGTTAGGGGCTATCAGGTCAGCAGGCAAAAGCAGTTAGGGGCGATTAGGCAAGCAGGCAGTGGTGGTTAGGGGTGATCAGGCAGGCAGGCAGGTGAGCAGTGAGTACCCAGAGGTCCAGATTGTTAGAGGGATGTCCTAGATTGAAGAGGGTGCAGGCCAAGCTGAGGGATATCCACTCCTCCATGCATGAATTTCATGTACCTGGCCTCTAGTCCTACTTAATAAAAGAGTAATATGCAAATTAACCACCACTCTGCTACACCCACAAGCCATGCCCCCCAGTCACGCCCACCAGCCAATCAGAGTGAGTATGCAAATAAACCCAACCAAGATGGCTACAGCCACAGAGAGCAGGAGGAAGGCCTGGGTTTCCCAAGTAATGAAGGAAGCTAAGTTTTGGGCCTGCCCATGCTCACCTAAGCCTCCACTCAAGGCTACAGAGTTTCAATTACAGAAGGTAAATAAATCCCAACAGAAATGGCTGCTGACCACAGAGCAAGCAGGAGGCTTGGCTACTCTCCAGGCTACAAAGTTTCAGTTGTAGAAGGTAAATAAATCCCAGATACCAGGGCCTCCACTTGGGTCACCAGGGAACATGGCTGACCTGCAAATCATCACAGACCCCTCACTCAGGCCGCCCCATGCCCCAAAGGAAACCCCCACCCTAATCTGGGACACCCTTCAGGGCAAACCAGCTGGCCCCTACCCATGCACCAGGCCTCTATCCTATCTATTGAAGAGTAATATGCAGATTGACCATCACTCCAAAACACAAGATGGCATGCTCTATATGGTCAAAGATCCTGCCCCTATGTGGACACAAGATGGCCACCATAAGTTGAGAGGGACCAGGCCTGCAAGGGAGGGCAGTTGAAGGCAATCAACCCTGCATGGGAGGGAAGTTAGGGGCAAACAGGCTGGCAGGGAACAGTTAGACATCAATCAGGCTGGAATGAGAGTGATTAGGGAGTGATCAGGCTGGCAGGAAGAAGCAATTAGGGGCAATCAGGCAGGCAAGCAGGGGAGCAGTTGGGAGTCAGCAGTCCTGGATTGTGAGAAGGATGTCCAACTGGGATCGGGCCTAAATGGGCAGTCGAACATTCCTTGAGAGGTCCCAGATTGGAGAGAGTGCAGGCTGGGCTGAGGGACACCCTCCTGCCCCCCACCACCATGCATGAATTTCATGCACTGGGCCTCTAGTCCATATATAAGTGTTTGTGAGACAGGTGCAATGGGGATGTCTTAAGTACTAGGAGACTCCAGCCAGAAAAGAGTTGAGGTTCTCAGTGATAATAGAGAAGTAAAATTGAGAGATGTTCAAGGAGCTTGCAAGAGCACTCACAGGAGAATCAGCTTTATATTTAAGTTCAGAGAAGGCATGTATTGGACCATCATGGCAGTATCTGTGACATAAGAACTTTTCTGTTCTCTTTCTGCTTCTCTTTGGGTATACTCCAATCCCAAACTAGAAATAACAAGATGAAAATAGCTTAATAAGATGGAGAAGAGAAGGATATGTGATTGAGGAGAACTGGAATTTAAAAATATTGTTTATCCTATTAACTTTCACACTTTAATTCTTTCAATTAATCCTCACTCCTCCCACCCTTTTTAGGTAGTTGTTTTCTAAGAGATGTGGCTTCCTCTCCAGAGTAACATATTATGAGGTAATTAATTAGAGTTACCCACTGTGGTTAAGTTCTCTTACCTTCTGGGCCATATTTCTCATCCTTAAACCTATGTCCAGAACTGAGTATTCATGATGAACAGGACTGCTGACACCCTACTTGGCTTGGGTTCGACTGTGCTCTGACAACCAGAATGCTGGTGTCCATATTCTAGTGGAATGATCTATGGAAGTCAGTCAATTATTGTGCCTCCTGGAAGAAAACACTCTGTAAAGTTGGTGACAGTGTGGTACAGGGCATAGGAAGACAGAATTCTACCTATTTCTGAGCAATGATGACTGCCATTTCATTTGCCATCTCACACACATGCAGCTGTGAGGACAACCTAGAAACAACACCCACGCTCCACATACTCATTCAGGATGCTGGTACTAGATGGCTGAGGCAGAGGAGATAAGTAATGGTGAATCACGTGAGACACACTAAATTTTCTAAAAGCTTGTAAAAGAGGTCCAGAGGTCTGGCAGAACACAAAAGAATGAACCAGAATGATCTAAAAATATTTTAATCAATGTGCACCATACATACAAGGCTTGGAGAGCATCAGCCAATGTTTGACTTCCTTCACTTTATTGAGAATTATCTCAGGACTTTTTCTTTAAAGTCCCAGGACTTAGCACCATCTTAACCATATAATGTGTGTAGCACAAATATTCATTGAATTAGACTGTGAGATTTGAAGATCAAGGTTATTGTAACACAAAAATCTCACATTTGGATCTCTATAAAGGCAAAGGATATGGCGCCATGAAGTGGGAAAAATAAAAGCTGTTTTTCCCCCCATGGTTTTTAATAATCCTTTTTATTACCTTTCTGTTCTTTTTGTCTTGTTGTAAAATACTTCCTTTATCTAGAGTCTTTAGATATTGCCTACTTTATCTTCCCTTTATTACAGATAAAGACATTTCTTTGTCTAGATTACGAGGTCTCTGATAAAATCAAAAATCTAGAAAGTCAGTGGAGAAGTTGAGGTAATGAAAAGTGTAAAACAAACCTTTAATTTGTATAATATTTGCCAATGTTGGGTCACCTGTGCCAATCATGCTGGCCAGAAGATAACAGATGTTCTAAGACTTTTTTTATTCAGAACAACAGGATGTTTTGTTTGGTGTTTTCAAAACTGCAGAAAGATCTTCCGAAAAGTTCCAGTGCTATTGTGGAATATCAGACTATAGACTCCAAATTTTAAAAAAGACTATTGTTTCCTAAAGTCTTCAGGAGAGAAGGAACTGGTCAATAGTCCAAATCTTGGAGTCCCTCATATCTAACTTCTCGATGCCTAAAACTTTTATTTTTACTTTTTACAGAGACATAACCAAATAATGTCTTTGAGAGTTGCCTTGTGTCTGGAGGAAACAGAGGCCTGTGACACCTAGGAAGGTGAGAGAAGACTCCATGACACTTAGTACAGGAAGGAAGGGAGCTCTTTGTAGACACAAGCTGGCCAACTTCATGAGGTTATTTGCAAAGGATACTGATAGCATATCTCTGAAAAAGATAAAAATGTTGGTTGAGTTAAACACTACAGAGTTATTACTGTCCTGTGCCTTTAACTTTCTCAAATTATTAAAAGTGGTTCTGTTTTACTATGATTTTTTTCATAATTACATAATTATTGGCTTAAATAAAGTTAAACCAGGTTTTAAATGCAGGGTCTCCTGTGAGTTCTTATTAATTTTGCTTGTTAAGAAATATTTAGCCTGTACAGGGTTTATCAATTTTATTAAAGCATTGATGCCTTCAAGAGGAATAT